TAATGCAACACTACCAAAACTCAAAACATTTTTACAAACCAAGCTGCTCGCTTAGATGTATAAGTCTGTGAGAGGAAATTCAGAATTATTGGTTTTTATTAACCCTCGGAAAACCTTAGGAGGAAAATCCGCCATGCATTTATTTTTCTCTGTTTTTATTTATTATTTTATTTTGGTGCAGTTGATAAACATGATTTTTTTTTTTCATGACAAAGCCTAAAAGTCCTTCTACATTTTTTTTTTTTAATTGTCAGAATTTTTTTTTCAAATAGTCGTGAAACTGTATAACTTTGATACATTCTCGTGTTCTTGAAGGGAAAGTCGACCACATTAAAATACATCATAAATACAACTTTTAATCCCATATTTGTCCAAACATCCATGATCTTTACCTTCTTCTTCCTTTTCGGGTCGCGGGGGTCACTGGTACCCATGTACAGCCATCACTGTGCGAAAGGCAGGGGACACCCTGGACAGGTCTCCAGGTCAACACAGGGACACAAAGACAAACGAGACAAACAACCATTCTCTCTCTCTCTCACCTAGGGACAATTTAGAGTCACCAATCAGCCTGACATGCATGTTTTTGGTCTGTGGGAGGAAACCGGAATACCCGGGAAAAACCCACGCATGCACGGAGAGAACATGCAAACTCCACCCAGAAAGGCCCCCAGAACCGGGGTGACCTGCTCGCTGAGAGGCAGCAGCTCTACCAACTTCACCACCGTGCTGCCCCCACATTTATCAAATCATATAATGCATTCCTCTCTGTATTGTTTTTATTTCTATCCCTATACTTTAGATTTACATATTACCTTCTCAGTCACACATTGCTGCAGTCCCGCCTCTCATCTCGCCCAACAAAATAGTTTTAGATTGGATGTAAAGAACAAAAACTCGTTCACTCACAGTAAAAAGCTGTTCCACATTAATGCAGGCTGCAGAATCGGCTGACAGCCGTTGGTATAGCCGAAGGCTGGACGTCATTAGCGGGTACACCATTACTCGTATATCCGGGTCAGTACAAGCAAAAAACAATTTTAGAAAGTAGCATTTCTACTACGGTCGCAGTTTAAACAAGAAATAAGGAAAATAAAATCATAGTTAAAGACACATGAGAAAAATATTTTAAAACAAACTAATTACAGAGATAGGAGTAAGTTTGATCAAAATCAAGGTCTCGTTTTTGGCTACTGGATCTGAAGGGACCGGTGGTCTAGGGTCTTCTCAAATAAATTTCAGTTATCATTTTGGGTGTACTAATAACGGAAAATGCTGTTCTTTTTTTTTTTTTTTTTTTATTTTTTTCAAAAATTGCCTTTAAAAATATTTTTTGATAAAAATAAAAAATTTATATATATATTTATTTATTTTTCTTTTTGAACAAAAGACACTTAAGAGTTCAAATAAATGTAAAAAAAACCATTTAAATTGGATATTTTTATTTCAGGCTGAGATACCGTTAATTCTAAAACATTGTCTTGTTTTTTTTTTTTTTTGGGGGGGGGGGGGGTGGTGGTGGTGGATAATTAAGTGTATATTTAAGCAGTTAGATAAGGTGCTTGATTTTTCTCCCTAAGGAATACTAACTGTCATAAAGCCAAAGGGACTTCCAGGAGTTAAATAAAACGTGTTTCCTTGTCTTGTTGCTCCAGGGGCATCAGGTTACCCCCCTGTCAGGCTCTGACATGTCCTCAAACCAGCCTTAGGCACCTTTGTTATGAAACAGGGCTTCCTGATTCAGTTTACAGCACCTCAACCATCTATAACTCTAACAGTTTGAAAAAGACAAAAAGAAAACGTGTAACAGAATGGAAAAAAGACATGATTTGTTTAATGGTATAATAGACCTAAACAAATTTAACTTAACTCCCTCTGGATATTATTTAAAATATTATAAATTATGCAACATTACCTGTAAAGATCTGTAAGAAAATGCCCAAAATATTCTAATGTTGCTGACTTTTTTTTTTATTATGACACTTTTCCTGTTGACGGTTAGTAATTACCCCATTACTATTTGCCTGTTATGCTTTAGTTTCCATCACAATTTTAAAATTGCATCTCCTCCATGATTAAAAAAAGTTTAAAAAAAAAAAAGAAAATGTGCAGCTGGAATTGGAAATAATATTTGCTGACTTTTAGTAGCAGAACATTTGGCTAAAATTCACAAACAAATGTGACAAACGGTACACATTCATAACGTTTTGCTGAAACAGGTGGTAAAACCAACCCATTGAAATCTCTCCAGTGGCTCATGAGATAAGTTCAAGTTAACAGACATACACTTGTCTGTCTGAATTTTATGAACCTGAGCTGTGTGCCTCCTCCTGTGTTATGACTTTCACACACACGTACTTGTTTTCCTGCCATGTGAGAACGTCGGTTTTGGAGGCTCACAATGGGGACACTAGTTTATGAATGAATGCTAGCTAAAAGTCGAGTGGGAAAATATGACTTAAAAGCCTAAAGTAGGCAAATGTAAGGTAAAAACTAAAAGTAGGAAAATGTGCATTAAATGCTAAATATAAAAAAGACTAAGTAAAATTTTAATGTTGAAAAATGTTTGCTAAAAGCTGAAAGTAATAAAAATGCCAGCTCAAAGTCAAAAGCATCAAAACCCTAGCTAAAACACAAAAATAAGCAAAGGCTAACAAAATTTGCAAAATGCTATCTGAAAGCTAACACGGGTAATGGGCTAGCTGGAAAATAAAGTAGTAAAAGTCTAGCTGAAAATATCAAGGGTTAACTTGAAAGTAAAAATAATAAAAGGGTTTCTAAAATAATCCAAAGGTTAGCTAAAAGTTCAAAGTTTCAAAAGGCCAAGAGAAGAGAATTCAAAAGCTAGCTAAGATGGTTAAACATCTAGCTAAGGAAATCAAAAGACTAGCTAAAAGAATTAAAAACTTACCAGCAGTTGTTAAAAGCTAGCTAAAAGTTTCAAAAGGCTTGCGAAAAGGTAAATTTATATATCTTTTTCATCAAGAGGACAGGTGAAGGTCTGCAGAGGTTTGTCTCTTAAAGACAGGAGCTTCAGATGCTGCAGAAGCTGGATATTTTGTCTTTTGTCTTCTCTTTGTCCAGTTTCCTCAGATTGTTCATAAATGAAGATGTTATGCAGATAAAGGTTAAGGCTTCAGTTGAAAATGAGTTTTAAAAAGCAGCAAAGAAACCTTTTTTTTTTTTACACTTTTTTTGTAAGTGTTTTGATTTATTTGAGACACGCTATAAATAAACGAGGACAGAAAGTGTCCGGCATTATTTGCTGTTTAATTATTTAGTAGAGAGACAGGAAGCTCAGCCTCCCCTCCCCTCCATGAAGTGTGTCACCTTTTATTGTGAGAACGGACCAGACCGGAGCGAGGGACCGATATTGAAGAGATGGAGCGAGGTGAGAACCAGAGCTGCGAGGTGAGAATGACTCAAAGACGGAAGAGGTGAGACGAGGAGGGAGGAGAAGATTTCTTCCATCTTCATCTCATAGCCTTGCAGTCTGTCCTCCGGAGGATGTTGGCGCCACAGAACCTCAGCCGCAGTCGGGACTACAGGACCCAGAATGCACTGGGACACCTGGAAGGAAGCAGGTCGCCTACCTGGGATCTGCAGGTATGAAGAGGAGCAGAAAGGATGATGGAAGAGCAGCTTGTTGGGACGAAATCTGTTTATCGGTTTGGTTTGTCGCATCAGTAACCTTCAGGAAGAGTTTGTTGTTGTTTGTTTGTTTGTTATTTGGTGCCGGTGAGCTGCAACGCAGAGCAGGTGTCCGAGGCATCTCCATGGCGACCGTGTTGTGATGAGTACTCGGATCGACCCGTGACTTGCCAGGACGTGAAAACGCTCATGGATTTTTGTTTCTGAGATTCAGAACAAAATGAAAGAATGTCCAACTGAACCTGGTCTGATGATGTGATCCTTGGACCGGACCGGACCGGACCGGACCGGACCGATTCCAAACAGATTAAACTTCAGGGATCGGGCTGCTGGACTTTACAATGACTCAGCTTCCCCTATTTTTGTGGTGCTTGTTTTCCAGCTGAAACCGTTTATTTTCTTCTGATGTGGTTTTAGAACCAAAACCCTGAACAAAACTCTTGAACCCAAACTAGGGGTTTCCAAAACTCTCAGCTTGTCACTTCAAATATAGCAAACTTTGCCTATAATGTTAATAAATTTATGATTATTGTATGTATTTATGAACAAAATCAGCTGCTACAAATTTTTTTCCATTAAATTTGGAGTTGATCTGGGGACCCTCAGTTGATGCTTCATGACCCAAAATGGGGTCTCGACACCAACTTTGAGAACCTCTGCTCTAAATGATAAAAGTCAAAAGGTTTATTGACTTTACTGTTATTTAACCAAGAAAACTCCTGAAGCTTTGGGTTTGATTTTTTACCCAGGATACTACGTATAATTACCAGTAATACACACGATTCTAAAATTATTTGCAGTATATTAAAGTAGATATTATAGTAATTTATATGATGCTTAAATTGCTATAATACCAAGTTGGAAGTGAGGAATAGGAAAGAAGACCCAAACAAATGAAGTGAATTGGAGGAAGAAAATAATTAATTAAAGGAGAAAATAGAAAGAAAGAAAAAAAATGATGGAAGAAAGACGGGAGGAAACATTTAGGAAAAATGAGAAAATGGAAGAAAAACTATGAAAATCAGTTTAAATAGAAGAAAAACGTAGGAAAATGGGGAGGAAAGAGATCAAATACGACGCATCAAAACATTTTTACCTCCGTCTCAGAAAAATTGTTTTGGTTTGACCTGGTTTTTAGGAAATGTTTTTTTTATTAGTACGTTTAATAAAACAAAGTTTAAAAAAAATCATCATTCTGCAAACTTTGTTTAAAACTAAACGATGTAAAGCGGTAACGCTGAGTCTCAGCAGCCAGCTGCCACCTGTACCAGGTCAAAGTTTTATTAACCGTTACTAATGTATAAACCTGAAGCATTTTTTAAATTATCCTAAATCTGTTTGTGTTTCAGGATGACGTTCCCATCAAAGAGATCAACATCACACATCTGGTGAAGGAAGGCTCGGAGAAGGCCGATCCGCGGCAGTTCGAGCTACGCAAAGTCCTGGGACAAGGCTCCTTCGGCAAGGTGTGTGTGTTTGATTATCTGTCAGGGTGTGTGTTTCCACTGTAAACCCTGCAGTGTTTGAGAGGCAGTTGCCATGGAGACACCCTCAATTTCATCATCTTTATGAATGAAACGCTCTCCTCCTCACCGTGTCATTCGTGTGTGTTTGTGAACTTTGGGGTCAACTGAAACAAATGCAACAAACCGATGTGGAGCTTTGCCACATATTTTACTGCTCGTGTTGTACGTGGACTGTTGTCACTGTGCTGGGAGTGAGAGAAGAATGGAGTGCAAGATCAACAGTGCAGCTTCTGCAGTGTTGTGGACTCTGTGTCGGTCCGTTGTGGTGAAGAAGGAGCTGAGCTGCAAGGAGAAGCTCTCTTTTTCAAGCCTAAGGTCCTGAATTCTGTGTAGAGACTGAAAGATAAAGGTCCTGGATCCAGGCGGTCCAAATGAGTTTTCTCTGCAGGGTAGCTGAACTTCCTCAGAGATGGGGTGAGAAGTTCAGTTCTCCAGGAGAAACTCTGAGTAGAGCTGCTCCTCCACATCCAGGCGAGACAGCTGAGGTGGTTCAATCATCTGGTGAAGTCCCTGGATGTCTCCATAGGGAGGTTTTCAGGCATGGAAGGAGATCCTGGGGAAGACCCGGGACACACTGGAGAGACTGTGCCTCTCAGCTGGTCTGGGAACAGCTTGGAGTCCTCCTAGAAGAGCTGCAAGAGATGGCTGTGGAGAGACATGTCTGGACCTCCCTGATCAAACTGCTTCCCCCAAGACCTGAGTCCAGAACCAGATGATGGATGGATTGGTTTACGTTAGAAAAGTTGAGGAGTCTTGTTTGTGACTGTTGTGTGTCTTTTAGGTGTTTTTGGTGAGGAAGATCACAGGGCCAGATGCTGGTCAGCTGTACGCCATGAAGGTCCTGAAGAAAGCTACGCTGAAAGGTACACAAACCCCAATCTGCTTTATTTGATGTTTTCTGAACAAATCTCATTTAAAAAAAAAGCTAAAATGAACAGCATATTAAAGAGTCGTGAGCATCATAAGTCATGGTGCATCATGTTCTTTTCTGTCATGGAGCTTCATTCTTGTCCAAAACCACGTCCGTGGGCTGCCACACATCCTGCAGTTAACGGCTCCCACTGGAGGAATAAATCAGGATTATTTCACAGCATGATGCACCGTGTCCTTCTGCTTCAGTTGGGAAATCCCTGAGCCCTTTTTAAAGAAATACAATTAAAAATGGAAAAAAAACTCCTCCCTCATTCCATTCTAGGACATTGTAAAACTGATCTGTTGTTAAAATGATACAAATATAACCTCAAATGTACCGAAACGCACATCAGATTCCCCGATGTCATTATTTATTAAACACAGGGCTCTGGAGCACAACGCGACGGAGGAAAGACATTAGCAATGACCTCAGAGAAGCAGCTGTTGCTGCCCACCAATTTGTGAAGGGTCAAAGCTCATTTAGTCCATCGTTCTGCAGAGAGAAAGTTTATTCAAAAGTGGAAAACATTTCAGACAGCTGACGATCTTCACAGCAGATTCACCCTGAAGGTCAGACTATGCAGTGCTCGGAGCAATGAGCTCCATCTCAGACTTTACAGGCCTCAGTTAGCAGGTCAGAGGTCATGACTGGGCAGTTAGAAACTGTGTATGGATTGATTTTTCACGTGGACCCAGATGTTATGGCTGGGAATGACACAAGTTTTAAGCCCCACCCCCCACGTAAACAAATTTGACGTTGCTGTTAGTGAAATAATAACACTACACCTTGGATAACTTGCTTTCTAGTGTTGGCTCTTGTTGATTCACATAGTTTTTGCCTTGCTGCTGTATGTCTAAATATTTAGATATTACAAAGATCGTGTATGGAGGGAGTGGGCGGGGCTTAAAGGCGCTGAAGCTGGGTCCAAAAATACAACATGCCAGCTTTTATAAAACAGTTCCTGCTGTCTTCAGCTCCCCAAAACGAGACACAACAAGGACAGTTGCTTTAACGTATCTACGATACTGTCAGCACGGTGGTGGAGGCTGATGGTTTGGACTCCTGTCACTCACTGAGCAGAACATGAACTCCTCTGTAGATCAAAGGGTCCTGGAGTCAAATGTGAGTCCATCTGTCCAATTTGGCTCCAATAAGACTATGATTCCAAACACAGCAGCTAATCTACAACTGAACAGGTTCAAACTAAAAGAACCAAGGTTCTGCAAAGGCCCAATCCGAGTCCAGAACCCCAACCGGACTGAAACACTGTGGTCAGACCTTCAGAGAAAAGAATTGAAGCAACGCTGGAAAGAAGAGTGGACACAAATTACTCCATAACCATGTGCGAGACAAACCATTTAGAGTTTCTGCTGCTGATGGAGGTTCTGCAAGCTGCTGGATCAGAGTCTGGACCCAGTTTCCATTAAATACATAATTACTCAATGGACTGTATTGTGTTTTTGTTCCCTTGAGGTTTGATTTGGATCATTTTAGAACCAAAAGATCAAATTTATAAACCCTAAACCTGAAAGAGATGGACTTTATTGTGTTTATCGTTGATTTTTTATGTTTTAAAGGTTCTTTCAGATGTAAGTTCATTAAAGTTATCTTAAAATTCAGAGTCAGCTGAGGCTGTTGGCTCACATGAACAAGTTTTTTTTTTTTTTTCTCGGTCGTCATCTCCCAAAATGGAACTTCGCACCTTCAGGTGAGACAGAGAAAAGGAGCTAAAGAGGAAAAAATAAATCCCTGAAAGGAGCTTCAGCCCAACACCAACACAATCTGCTGGTGGAGAAAATGTGACCTGGTGTAACTCTTTGTGTAGTTTTCATTCTTCCTGTTTTGGTTTCGTTTATCCCTTCCTCCCCCGCTCCCTCCAAAATAAAAATAAAATAGTCCGGTTGTTGTTTTTTTAAATCAGTGATTAATGTGTTTCCCCCTCTCTCTGTGTGTTTTCAGTTCGTGACCGAGTCAGGACGAAGATGGAGCGGGACATCCTGGTTGAGGTCAACCATCCCTTCATTGTCAAGCTCCACTACGGTGAGTGGACCAGAACTCTCGGAGCCGATCAGAACCATGTGGTCTAGCAGGCCAAGGTGAAAATGTGCAGGAACCGCCCTGCTCTCCTCTCACTTCGTGTTTTTTACCTTCGGCAGCGTTTCAGACGGAGGGGAAGCTCTACCTGATCCTGGACTTTCTCAAAGGTGGAGATCTCTTCACCCGGCTCTCCAAAGAGGTAACTGCTGACGTGGATGTGGAGGACTTTTGACCCACTCTTCTTTCCATCGTTGCTTCAGTTCGTTGAGGTTTCTGCTCAGCTCTATGGAGGATTAGCTGCAGTGTTTGGGATCGTTGTCCTGTTGGACCCAGTTCGGACAGTTGACTCCAGAACCCTTTGTTCTACAGAGAAGTTCATGGTCCACTCAGTGACTTTACCAGGAGGGGCATGGGCAGTGGGCGTTGTGTTGAAAAAAGCCCCCAGACTGTTAAAAGCATCATTAAGAAACAACTGAATGTGTCGGTATGAAGTGAAAAAGATAAAAATAAGAAAAGATGGTTGAAATAATTCTTCTATTTCGCCCATTTGAATTAAAATTTAACTATATTGGACTCACCCCATCTCTAGCTGATACACAGTCTTTGGTTTTCTCCAAACATGAAGCAGTGCATTTTGGGTAAACATTAGGTCTGGTTCTGTCCCAGAAGTCTTGTGGTTGCTTCAGATGAAATGTTCTAAACCTGTCGTGCCGCTGTGTTGTTTTAGAGAGTGACGGTCATGACATTTCACCTTCGACCTGCTAACTGAGGCCTGTAGAATCTGCGATGGAGCTCTGAGCACTGTACGGTCTGACCTTCAGGGTGAATTTGTAGGCAGCTGTCAAATATTTTCCACTCGTGAATAATATTTCTGTAAAACAACAGACTCCAGATAGTTTGGAAGTGACCTTCAACCTTTACTAGATTGACTGTTAGCATTAGCTGCTTCTCTGAGGTCATTGCTGATGTCTTTCCATCTTGGCGTTGTGTAACACACACCTGTATGCTGCAGGTAGAGTTGGTTCTGATGAGGCTCAGTTAATCAGCAGCTCCTGACCCTGAACCTCTGAGATCCTGAACAAGCAGCAATTCTCTCTCTGATTTTTCGTTCAGTTTTTTTTCTAAATAAACGATAAAACTGAGACGACAAGTGTTGTTCTAAGAACTAATAATGATAAATTTAGTTTTATGTTTGTGTTTATTTATTTAAGAGAAGTGTACTACTTGTGTGGCTGGTCTGGACAGAAAAGTGTAATCTTTTTTTTTTTTATATGATCTCTCGTTCTATATTGTTAAAAGGTACAGACTTTAACCCGTGTCTAGACTTGTTTCTCAAACCATGAGCCTCGGCTGCTTCGGGTTAAAATAAAATATCTACAGGAGAGAGAGTTGTTTTCAAAGTATGAAAATTAGAATTTTGATCCTTTTTTTTCTGCTGCAGGTAATGTTCACAGAAGAAGATGTGAAGTTCTACCTGGCAGAACTCGCTCTGGCTCTGGACCACCTCCACGGCCTCGGCATCATTTACAGAGACCTGAAGCCTGAAAAGTAAAAACACACACACAGAAAGACACGCAGACTTTCGTGTTTTGATTCATTTACAGATCCGGTCTTCGTGGATCAACTTTAGCTCAGATTAAGAGAAACAAAAGAGAGAATTTCAAAGATGTGAAATTTGTTTAGGAGTTTTGAGTCACATTTAACCCCGAGTTGGGCTGAAGGTGAGTTCATCCAGTGATGAAGGACATCATGGGTGTTTGTTTGTGTCTGTTAGCAAAACTTCTCATCAACCAGAGGGCTGACTTTATTGAAACTCACAGAAAGTAATCGCTGGATGAATGCCAACCTGATTCAAGATGGTGGTCTTCGCCAACACAAAATTGGCTACAACTCAGTCAGTTTTAGATATTGAGCTGAAATTTGGTGTGGTAGTAGCTGAAGGTCATCCTCAAAATGAACTTTGAGCTCTGACAGGTTGCGTGAGATCTCACAATGCTGTGTGAAATAAAGTGTTGTTGTTTTATTTTTTTTAGATTTGACCCAAACTGCTATTGTTTGATACCAAATGATAAATTCCTTCAAGGAATGCTCGATTTTTAATTTCTACAAGCGTTTTGTTTCATTTGTTCCTCATAATGGAAGTCCAGGAGGTAAAGTACAAGAAAACTTTGTTTTGTTTTGCTTTTGAACGTGTTAAGTTGTCTTATTGTTTCACTGAATATGAATATTCAGACCAAAAAGGTGTGAAAAAGCAGCTTCAAGCTCCGTCTGAAAACTCAAAAAATGTTCAAAAGGTCTGAAGAACTGTTGGTGGAGACCCACTTTAAAAGATTACAAGAAAGTCTGTGGTGTTCGTACAGCGCTCGACCTACTAAAACAAGCTAAACTCGCAGCGTTTCCACTTCCTGTTTGTCCTGAAGTGATTTAAAACCATTTGGGACGTCATGAACCCGACTGATGGATACAGACGGAGTAAAATGCTGCGATTTGATCCGTCTTCTGTTGTTTCAGCATCCTGCTGGATGAGGACGGACACATCAAGCTGACCGGTGTGTAATCTTACACTCTTTTATTTATTCCTTTGTGTTTCTGTCACTTTGTGTTGTCACTCCATGTGTGTTCTCCTGCTGCTCTTTTCAGCTGCTGCCCACCGTCTTTGTCCTCACGTCTTCTCGTTGAATATTAAGATGTTCGGATTTGTTATGTTGTGTTGTCAGACTTCGGCCTCAGTAAGGAGTCCATAGACCACGAGAACAAAGCCTACTCCTTCTGTGGGACGGTGGAGTACATGGCTCCTGAGGTGGTGAACAGGCGGGGGCACACGCAGAGCGCCGACTGGTGGTCGTACGGCGTGCTCATGGTGAGCTGCCACCATTTTTGTTTTCATATATGTAATAAAGGTGGTATCTCACTGGGCTGTTGGTGACGAATGGCAAACAGCATTCGCAAGAGAGTTTCAAAAATGTCTTGTAACAACCGAGAGGGTTCTTGAAGCAGAGCCTCGTTCTTGTGCCACAGTAATTAAAAGAATGTTCAAAACGTTTATAAATCGACTCATTGTCCCTCTCAAAATAGTTGCAGAATCATCACGGGCATTTTGAAGCTTAAGCATTGAAGATGTTGAAAAGTTTGTGCAACAGATATTAGTTTGTTGTTTCAGGCGTCGTCTGTATCTAACCCTTCTCATTGTTAAAGCAAGTCTCAAAACTGTCTCAAACCTTTCCTAATTCTTTTAACTGGCGTCTCGAACTTGTCTCAAATCGTTTCCATTGTTGTTGGGGGTGTCTCTGACCCATCTCAAGAAAGTTAGAGCTGTATTTTGACACCTGCAGAAGCTCTGACTGAAATATCAGGGGCTACAGCCCCGAATGTCCAGGTCTACCTCAAACCTTCTCAGTTTAGTTTCCTTGTGTCAGAAAGTTCAGTAAAATTGAGACGATATTGGGAGTGTGTACTGACTAATGAAACCAGACTGTGACTGACTGGAGGCAAGAAAGACAATGAACTGAGATCAAATTGAAATATAATTGAAACACCTTGTGACTAAATTGCAACAAATAAAGTTACACATGATTTGCATGAATGTTGCACAAGTGTCACAGTTTAAGGTGTATCTCACCAAGCTGCAACGGGTGACGAGTTGGGGAATAGCATTAACAAGGAAGTTTACATTTAGGGAAAAACTGCCCAAAGGTGTGTCATTTAGAGCAAAACATAACCTACTTTATGTAAATAAAGTCTGTTTCTTTCTGGCTTGCTGTTTTGTAGCTTAAGAACTGAAGATGTTCAGAAGTTTCAGGCGTCTCCAGTTGGTCCCAAATCCTGATTTTAAAGCTGGTGTCTTAAATTTGTGTCAAATTCTTCTCCTAAACCTGCTTTAAATCCTTTCCAATTTTGTTGCTGGTGTCCTAGACCCATCTCAGTAAAGCTTCAACACGCCCCCCGATTCTCGAAACTTATTGTTGTTTACGACACAGTTTCCATGAATTTATTTGCGTCCAAAAAGAAGAAATAAAGTCGGACACATAGTCTGCAAGAGGGCAGGCATGTCAGGAAAGGTATATTTTTGGTTCCAGTGATTAGTGTCACACTTTGCTGCAACTGCTGATAAATGATCAAAAAGGACTTTAAATATGTAGAAAACACAAAAAGCTGATGACAATAGATAATTTAAACAGGCAAAGCTTCTTTTCCAGGGGTTAACTCGCTGAACCCAGAGTTATCTCGTGGGATAATTAGGCCTCCTGAGCACGTCGTCCTCAGAAATGAATGTGATTCCTCTCTGATTCAGTCAGATGTCGATGCAGTTTTAAGGAGATCCTCTGAACTTCATCCATTAGGACCTGCAGCTGCAGTGAGACCTAAATAATAAATAATGACGCGGTGGAATCTGTTTGTTTTTCTATACTTGAGGTTCGATTTTTCTGTCCATCCCTTGTACCTGACTCGACCAAGCATTAAAAGACCTTCAGAGACATGTAAAATCCTATTAAGACCACTTTAGAAGAAAATAAATGACTTTTTTCACTCTTTAAGGACTCTGACTGTGATGCTGTTTTGTTCTGTTTGTTCCCAGTTCGAGATGCTGACGGGAACGCTGCCTTTTCAAGGCAAAGACCGGAAAGAGACGATGACAATGATTCTCAAGTAAGAAACTTCATCCCGTTCGTGCAGCCGTATCCAATTTCCAGCTTACAGATTTTATTACAGCTCAAAGTGCAGAGAGGAGAAAGTACGAGGGACTGAGTCAGCCAAGAGGATTTATATTCCTGGAGACATCCAAGACCAGGACTGGGTGGGACCCAGCAGAGGACAGATAAGAGAACTAAACTCGGAGAGTTTGTAGATTTTTATAACGGCGCCGCAGGAAAAAGGAGGAAGTGGAGTAGAGACCGAGATGGTGTTGGAGTCTGATAAAAATTAAAAACACACCTCAGAGGAAATATTAACTCCTCCTGCTTCCTCTGTCTCTGTTTCACTCTCGCCGCTCGTCTGCAGGAAAACGCTGAGCCCGCTCTGCAGAGTGCTGACGCTGCTTCCTGTTGGACTGAGCTGCTTTATTGTCTTAGCTTTCAGACGCTTCATTTGGATATACAATACGGACATTCAGTACGTTGTTCCCTCTTTGATTCATCTGTACGGCTTGTTTCTCTGTGTGCAGAGCCAAGTTGGGAATGCCGCAGTTTCTCAGTGCTGAAGCCCAAAGTCTCCTCAGGAACCTTTTCAAACGCAACCCTGCCAACAGATTAGGTAAAAAACTCAGACATGAAACATGCTGGGAGGTTGAATGGGCTCGAGGCAACACAACTAACCAGCACCTAGAGATATACATTCATCACTGATGTCAAAAAGCACAAAACAATATCCTTTTGGATGCAAAATCTGTTATCTTTGACAAGAAACTGCAAAGAAAAGCACCCATAACCAACGACAACTAACATTTTACAGCAATCTATAATATGAAAAACTAGTATTTCTTGAAGAACTGCATGTCACCTACGACCTTGTACGCTAAAGTTTAAAAAAAAAAATCTCTATCAATCTGTTAGAACTCAGCCTATGTGTTGAGAATGACTCTCAGCTACTACCACATCAAATTTGAGCTCAATGTCCTTAAAACTGACTGATTTATAGCAAGCTTTGGTAAGGCCGATTAACAGTGGTGGCCATCTTGAATCAACCAAAAGTTAATCAGTTGTAGACGCTTATATATATATATATATATATATTATTTTTTTTTTCAATGAGTTTTATTAAAATCTGTCGACTGGTCGATGAGATATTTTAGGACAGTTACATGTTTGACAACTTTTCATGGCAGCTGGTGATAAAAAATTACAACAAACTGCAGTGAGGAGTCCAGATTTCATTCAGCTTGGAACCTAAAAGTGGAAAATCGATGCTTGTGATGTATTTTTTTTTTGCATTTTATACCATAATTTGTAGTTTCTCTAAACATAAAATCCAACTGTTTAAATCATTATATTTTGAAAAACACTCCTCTAAAGTTGTGTTGAACTGAACTGGTATCTTGATACACATTTCTTCTTGAGCAGAATAAAAACTTATTACAGTAATCCCTCGTTTATCGCGGGGGATCCACACCCTGAAGCCCTGCGATACGTGAAAAACCACCAAGTAGGAGTAGTAGTACAAGTAGTAAGCATTCTTGGCCACTCCCACTTCTCCTCTCTGCATGGAGAACAGCTGATCAGCTGCGGAGGAAGCTTATCCTACAGTGTGGTCTGCACAGAGGTGCTAAATAATTTCAAATAATTTATTTTAAATAAAAATCCCATGCCGATCATGCGGCTCATCCATCAATCAATCAATCGTGTGTCATGTCCAATCTTATTTTGAAAAGCCGCGATAGAGCGTCTGCGAAAAGCGAAGTAGCGAGGGACTATTGCACTGTCCAATTAAAGAGTTCATCTTTATTTAAATACTATTTCTATTGTTTGACATTTCATTTGATAAAAACTACTACATATTTATGATAAAATTAACCTTTCTTTCCTAACTTCACTAAAAATGACTCGTGTCCAAGCAACCAAAATGATACACCGAGCCTTTATTCTGAAAGGCTCCCCATGTGATGCAATACTTCCTGTATTGATTGTTTTGGAGGGAAAATTTGTTTTAGATTACAAACATACAAAAGCATTTACTGCCTCCTATTGGCAAACATAAATGTCCCCACAAAATAAATTCACTTAAAAGTAGGTACATGAACGAACGGTTCTAGTTCTTTGTATTTTCGATAATATATTATAAAATATATATAATAATATATAGGCTAAACAGAATTATGTCAGCAAGTTTAACCACAAACTTTCTTATGATGATATCTTGCAGGAAAGTTTATTTTGTAATGCAAACACATTGATGTTTATATAAACGGCCAAAGATACAAACTGCATCATTAATACTGAGAGATCTTGTTAACACAAGTAAAACTCTACACCTTTTCAAACAAAGGTATGTTTCTGCAAACATTTGTGTGCACATTTTGTTTTTTTGTTAGCAGAGCAACATTTACCCAAGTACAAAAGATCAGCTACATATGTGGTCTTGTTTGGGTCAAGCACATTTTGTGCCTTTTATAAATATTTTAACACTTATCCAGATGTTTCACTGCTTTAGAAGTTTAAAAATTCCTGCAAATAAACTTTCATCAGGCAAGTTGTGTAATATCTAAAATTTGGGCTCAGATGATATCCATTTGTTTGTAGGCGCCGGAGCAGATGGAGTAGAGGGGATCAAAAGGCATCAGTTCTTCAGCACCATCGACTGGAATGTCAGTTTCTCCTTTTTCTATTATCGTCACAGTACAGAAACAAACGCACACACAAAAAGATCCTAACACTTCTTTTATTAGAGCTCTGCGTTCTGTTTGTTCTCCCTGTAGAAACTCTTCCGCAGAGAGATTCGGCCTCCTTTCAAACCGGCTGCAGGACGATCTGACGATACGTTCTATTTTGATCCGGAGTTCACAGCTAAAACACCCAGAGGTGCACGTTTCAACTCGCCCGCTGAGAGGTGAACTACATTCTCTGTGAATTTCACAGAGCGGTAAGCGTTAACAGCTGTTACCGTGTGTGTGTTTCAGACTCACCAGGGGTCCCGCCAAGCGCCAACGCCCATCAGCTCTTCAGAGGATTCAGTTTTGTGGCCATAACAGAGGAGGAAGCACAGCCAGTACCCAATACTATTGTACAGGTGTGTGCACTGTGTCTCAGATCAGAACCAGAATTCATCTGACTGTCTGGTGCAAACCTCCGTGGACACATCTAAAAATCGTAGCACAGTATAGCTAAATTGTCCAGCAATATAAATAAGATATACAGTAGTTCCTCAGTTATCGCGGGGGTTACATTCTGGACACTCCCGCGATAGATGAAAATCCACAAAGTAGGGATGTTATATTTATTTTACTCTTGCAATGTTCTTAACAATGTTCTAAGCTCTTTAAACGCTCTAAAAGAGCACAACGAAAGAGAGCAGACAGACTGATGCTATGATTACTGAGCCAATCGGACTGGCCATTGGGAGCACTGGGACATTTCCTGGTGGCCTAGCCCGCTCAGTAATCGCTGAAGGGGACTAAAGGCTCGGTTTGGGTCGTGCTTGCTTATTTTAAATAAAAAATCCATACTATTCGTGCGGCTCACTCAGGTATGACAGACCCCAACCAGCACAGCTGTGACAGAGAGTCACATCTGAGCAGAGACGCACTCTGCTCAGATGTGACAGACAGCCTCAGAAAGAGAAAGGAGGGGCGGGGGTGGGGTCTGTCTTTCCCCCATCGCCAGTCGTGTATCATGTACAATCTTACAATGAAAACCCACGAAAGAGTGCTAAAAAATAATAAAAAATAAAATAAAAAAATACTCAGTTTTTATCATAACAAGAATTTAAACTCAAAGACGGTGGAACACGTGCAAGGTATTTTAGTTTCAGATTTATTCTCAGATTATTTAAGACTGTTTTGAAAGTTCATCTTGCCTAAACGTCCCCCTTGTTATTTTTTATCTGAGAAAATTAATAATTATTTAAATAAATCTTGTTGGCAAAAAAGTCAAAACAGAATTTGTTCAAAGAAAACGGAGAAAAAAATTCTGACATTTTTGGGAATACGTTAGAACAGATAAACTCAACGTATATGCAGATGATGTTTTGTTTTTGTCCAACTCTATACCACAATAAACAGTTATTTTAGGATTTAAATTTTAATTATTTATATTTTATTTAAAGAAACAGTAAGACTTGAATCCAGACTTCTCTTAATTTAGCACACTACAAATGGAAAGATATGACTAATTTTCCAGAATGGTTAAAAATGTCATAACCAAAAGTAGCCATACAAGCTAAGTAGCATGTAGCTAGCTACAGAGAAATCTGTTTGCAGTCCATAATGCTAATCGTAAACTGATCCTGAGTGTTTCTTTGTCTGTTAGCAAAATATCTTCTGAACACATGGACGGATTTTAAAGAAACTAATGTGTATTTTTGTGTTTTTTCTGCAGCAACTTCACAGAAGCACATCCCAGTTTTCAGACGCGTATGAGATTAAAGAGGACATCGGCGTCGGTTCTTACTCCATATGTAAACGCTGTATACACAAAGGAACCAGCATGGAGTACGCAGTCAAGGTAACAACAACAACAAACATCAACATTACAGTCAGACTGTAGGGCTGGAAAAGTCAGAAAAATTAATTTGAAGCATGTTTGACCAGAAAAAACAAACATTTTGTCCTTTAGGAACAGATTTTAGATTGTACTGAAAATGTGTTGAAAACATTTGATTAAGAAAAGCCTCTGTTACAGATCATTAACAAGGCGAAGAGAGACCCGACAGAGGAGGTGGAGATCCTGCTGAGATATGGACAGCATCCTAACATCATCACCCTGAAGGACGTGAGTCAAACTAAAGATTATTTATTATTTTACTTTTTCAATCGCTACAAAAATCACTTATATCGAGCTGCACGACTTGTCGATCCACCTTAATACCTTTTAGTTTTCATTTTGCACGTTTTCTTGCTTTAATGACACTGGATGATGGTCACATAAAGAATCTTAGAAATGTACAGTTTAGACAAAACGAGCAAAAAAAAACAGATGAAATAGACAAAAATGGGGTTCAGTTGAATCGAATGGTCAAACCCAGCCCTGTTTGGAGCTCTACAGCTCAAACAAACATCAAGTAAAAACATCATTCAAAGTTTAAACCGGTCACAGAAAGTTGGACTTGACATGACTGAACTGTTGTTTTGATATCTTTAACAGTTTTTACATAATCTCATTTTGTTTTGATGATTTTACTACTTGGAAAGATGACGTCACTAACTTTTCAGCTGTCTGTGCAGAACTTTTACAAACAAACTTCCTTGCACATGTTTAACACTTTTATACATTTTTTACTTCAAATTGTAAATATATTTGACTTATTTCACACAATCTCAGTGCTGCAGAGCTTTTTAGTATGGAAAACTAGAAGTGAAGGTTCTTTTTAATTTTATCATATATCTCCTACATAAAACTCTTAATTATTGTATGGATTCATCAGAGCCTTCAGCCGCTCACCATTCAATAATTATTTTCATATGACTTATAGTTTTTACGCAGCGACCATTTATCTAGTGTGTAATTTTTGGTTTTTGTTTCTACTGCATGTGTGCTGTCCCTGCCTCCAAAAAATGGCGGGAATCACCATGGCAACCAGTGACTCTGCAGATACTGGTTTTTATATATTTGGTTGTTTTTTATTTTCATGTTAGAGAGTCATCTGATATCAATATTTGTAAGTCATTAAAACAAAAAGCAAAACGGGAAGCTTTTCTAACCTGGTGTTTCAAAATAAAACTCATGCATACTCTTCAGATTAAGAATCTGTATCTGTGTGACTTATATTATTACAGAAGTAAATTCTACATTTTTATAGAACTTATTGGACAGTAATGTTGTACATAAATTAGTTTTTTTTTAAACAATCAGAACCTTTTCTGAATCCTTTAACTGTGATTTTTTATCATGTCAGTGTTTCCCCTACAATTATACAAGCCCCACCCCCTCTACCGAACCGCGCCTCCACCCGGCGCTTGCGTAATGCTAAGCTAGCAGCTCGCAATATAGGTACACTAGCTAAAGGCAGCCTCTTCCCTCATGCTGAACCCTCACGCTGACACCCCCCCACTGGAAAATTGTTGGTACAAACAGTGCACAGCTCATATGTATCTCTGTTAAAAAATAAGATAAAATAAAAAAGACACCCGCCCCCGTCAACAAAAATCACGGGCAAGATGAGCGCCCGCCATGGCAAGTTATTAAAAAATTGTCTTTTTTTTTATATAAATCATTTTTTTTATCCAATGTGACTCATTCTGGGTCATTTTGCCTCCTGATAATGTGGTGAATTTGTTTGTTGGGCTCAGAACAACAATCTGAGTTAAATAATCCCGGTTGTCCTGTGACTCAGCGCTGATTAAAGGCAAAAATATCTTTGGCTGACGGGTGAAGATGCTCGGTTCCAACAATAAAATCCAACAAAGTGTCTGTTTTTAAAACAGGGATATGAATGTATGAACCCTGTTTAAAGAACGAGTAACATCGCCTAAATGCGTGGTCTTCCAGGACGTTTTTGACGCGTGGTTTGCTTTAATTCGTGTCGTAGGTGTATGACGACGGCCGCTCGGTGTTCCTGGTGACGGAGCTGATGAAAGGAGGCGAGCTGCTGGACAAAATCCTCCGACAGAAGTTTTTCTCCGAGCGAGAAGCCAGCGCCGTCCTCTACACCATCACCAAGACCATGGAGTACCTGCACGTCAACGGGGTGCGTTACTCAGGCTTCAGAGAAGTGAACGGTTGTTTTGTGGAGCTGCAGATGAGTTATGGTCACGTTTTAAAACGTCAAAGACGTTTGATGGGAATTTATGGAGTTGGGGAAGTTGAAACTCTATGAAAAAGTTTGGTTCCCGGTTCAAAAGAATAAATTACAATAAATGGTGCGAGCAGTTATCTTCCAGTGGAGTAAGGCTCGGTTCTCCTGCGTTTGCAGGTGGTTCACCGGGACCTGAAGCCCAGTAACATCCTGTACGTGGACGAGAGCGGGAACGCCGAGTCCATCCGGATCTGCGACTTCGGTTTCGCCAAACAGCTGCGAGCGGAGAACGGCCTGCTCATGACGCCGTGTTACACCGCCAACTTCGTGGCTCCGGAGGTACGTCAGAGTGGGAGTAAAAAATAATTTGAGTATATCTTTATCTCCTGGATTAAAGCCCTAATCCAGTCCTCGACTTTTTATATTTTCCTGTCAAGCAACATTATTTTCCTGGAGTTTCTAAAGTTGTCTCGGTCACAATGTGTGAACGCTGAGCCAGCCTTCGTAGCGATCCTGTTTCCCTTTATTACAGTGTCCTTTCATTTTGTTTTACCCTTTATTTATCCAGGAAGTCTCATTGAGCCACGAGAACTCATTTTCAAGAGAGACCTGGTTTAGGGAGCAGATGGGGGTTAAGGGCCTTGCGAATGAGGGTAGGGGCAAGTGTGGGTGCTTCATCTACCCCACCCACAATATTTTTTTTATGTTGTCGGTGCCGGAACGTGAACCGGCGATCTTCAGATCACAGGCCCACCTCTCTAACCTCTGCGCCACCGCTCCCACTCCAGTGGTTCTTTAGCACTAAACTACTTCTGCTTAATTTGTGCTATTTAGCTTTTTTTTTTTTTTTTAAACGTTTGACTCTTTCAGGGCATTGTAACTATGGCTTGAGTTTTTGTTTTTATACTTGTAAACCTTTTAAAATATTTAATTTCATGTTCATAATTTTTTACCCCCCAAAAAAATTTATCTTTTTTTTATATATATATTTTTTGAAAAGCTAACTTAGCTTTTTTATATATTTTATTTCCATTATTATTAATTTTATTTTTTTTGCATTTACTATAGGTAGTGATTCGATATTTTTTAGCATTTACCTAGTGTGTCACTACTTTTATCTTTAAACTAGCTTGTTGCTACTTTTGCTATTTAACTAGCATGTTGCTACTTTCAGCATTCATCTAGCTTTTTGC